CCCCCCCCCCCCCCCCCACGAAAGAGAAATGATGCAGAGAGAATCCTGCGCTGACCTGAATTTTGATGTTTTATCTCTTGGATGAACAAATGAAAGTCGTGGCATTCGTGAGCGTGCAAAACTCGGTAGGACTTCGGGGGCAGATTAAAAATGGAGCGATCATCTCGTCAGGGCTCAGCTCCAAATCACAGGATTACAAGAAGGGGGGGGGAGCAAAAGCGAGCCCTCGGATTAAAAATTTGCACCCTGCCGGATTTAGATTTGGGGGCAATAAAAACACACTAATGTGTTTTGTTTCGTTTTTTTAAATGCCCGTGAGATATCGTTGAATCGTCTACCTCTCTTTCTAAGACTATCCCTCCCTTTCCCAGCATAATCCCGAAATCTCAGATTTGCAAATTCCCTTCATTTGAATTGCTAAATGGAACTGATTTTTAAACAGCCTTTTTTTTATATATAAAGTGAATTGAACGCTGGAGAGGATAGAAACCATGAAAAACGAAAGGCGTATCGAACAACCAAAGAGTAGAATAAAATAAAGCAGATGCGGCATCTAAAATGTGATGGTTACAGGTAAACGGATCCTGTCCTTAGCAGTGGGTTGGGCTAGATGATCTCTGAGTTTTCCCTTTCAACTATTCTTCAGTGATAATAGTGGTGAGAGCGGCTTTTGAAAAACCTGCAGTTGCAAATTAAGTTTTTGTTTTCTCCTATTTTGTTTTCCCCCCCTGTGCTGTTTATTATTTTTGACCAGAGCAGAATGTTGCCCTGAAATATTTCTTATAAATAAACGCAAAAATCAGTAGTAGGCTGGAGAATTGCTATGTCATTAACATTGGAATGGAGAGAAGGAGAGAGAGATAAAGAAAGAGAGAGAAGAAGAAGAGAGAGAGAGGAGAGAGAGAAAGAGAGAGAGAGAAGAAGAAGGAAGAGAGGAGAGAGATAGAGAGAGAAGAAGAGAGAAAGAGAGGAAAGAGAAAGAGAAGAAGAAGGAAGAGAGAAAGGAGAGAGATAGAGAGAGAAGAAGAGAGAGAGAGAAAGAGAGGAGAGAAAGAGAGAAGAAGAAGGAAGAGAGAAAGAGAGAGAGAGGTACTTATTATCATATGTGGTGGACATGTGTTAAAGCAAGGAGATATTGGACAAAAATTCACACTTGGTTAGAAAAAATGCTAGAGAAACACATAGATTATAAACCTGAATTTTTTTTATTAGGTATAATAATAATCAGAAAAACTTGATAAGCAAAGTACATATTTGAGTTTACATGTGATAACAGCGGCAAGAATTATATTTACACAATACTGGAAGAACGAAGAAACACCACCAGAAGAAGAAGTAATTAAAAAAAAATACTAGACCGTGCGGAAATGGACAGACTTACTTTAAGATTGAAAGAAAAAGAAGGAACAGAATATTTTCAAACTTGGGACCTATTTTATCAGTGGCTAGAGATAAGATTTAGGGATTAGGAATTTAATTTGTATTAGTGAATAAGATACACAGACAACACGCTGAGAAAGAGAAAGAGAAGAAGAGAGAGAAAGAAAAAAAGAGAGATGGCTTAAATTTGCAAATCTGTAGGGAGCTTATGGATACAGATTTTAATTTTCAATCTAAAGTGAGTTTCAAAATTGAGGTGAGCAATTTGCAGCTGTTGGGCCAATGTTTCTTAGTCTTTAAGAATTCTAAACTTAAAACTTAAGAATTTTTAAGCTAGGTGGACTTCAACTCCCAGAATTCCCTGGCCAGCACAGCATAGCTAGCCAGGGAATTCTGGGAGTTGAAGTCCATCCATCTTAAAGTTGCCTAGACTGTGTCAGGCCACAGGGAACCCTCATAAATTAAGCATCCTACTTAATTTAAAACGGGGAGCATCATAAATAAAAAAAACCCTGGGTTGGAAAAATCGAGGACAGATGTTCCCATGGCTTGATTTTTTTTAACCCTTCATGCAATAATTAATCCCCTTTGGAGAAGACCCACCCTCCACAGGAGATTAAACGAATGAGCAATTTATGCCTTCGATCCCCAAGAAATCCATTTAGATTCCAGGCTCCGAATCTGCCAGCTGTTTTAATTTGCAAAGTCCAAATTGATGGGGAGATTGGGCAGAAATTGGATAGACCATAAAAGGGAGAAGCTAAGGTGATTCAAGCATCCATCGGCTTAGACTTTGACCCACTTCATTTCACAGGTGCCAGGCTGAAATTGCTCTACATTCAACCAGCTGTTTGCCGTGAAATTATTCCTGCGTAGGAGACCGCAATAAATCCTGGATACGGGTGTGGCTTTGAATTGACCAAGATTCTCAACGGTTAATCATGAACAGGAAAGCTTATTTGATGGTGACATCAAAGCCTATGCCCCAAAAAAGGAAAGAAAGGAAGGAAGGAAGGAAGGAAGGAAGAAGGAAGGAAGGAAGGAAGGAAGGAAGGAAGGAAGGAAGGAAGGAAGGAAGGAAGGAAGGAAGGGAAGGGAATGGAAGGGAAGAAAGAACCTTTGACTATTATTGCACATATTTATGTCCTATCTTGTCTGACAACTCAGACATCCATCAGTGAATTTTAATATCTCCTAGCAATTCTGAAGTAGACCAGACTGAGAAAACATAGCCCAAAGTCAGGAGGAGAAGGAGAAGGAGAAAGAGAAAGAGGCAAGAGAAGAAGGAAAAGGAGGACAAGGAGAAAGGAAAGAGAAGAAAGGAAAGAGAAGAAAGAGGAGGAGGAAGGAGGAGGAGAAGAAGAAGAGAAGAAGAAAGGAAAGGAGGAGGAAGAGGAGGAGGAAGAAGAAGAAGAAGAAGAAGAAGAAGAAGAAGAAGAAGAAGAAGAAGAAGAAGAAGAAGAAGAAGAAGAAGAAGAAGAAGAAGAAGAAGAAGAAGAAGAAGAAGAAGAAGAAGAATAGTAGTAGTAGTAGTAGTAGTAGTAGTAGTAGTAATCACAACTTTTTGGTCTTTGAGAACAATTGTAGGCATCCATCACACCAAGTTTTATCTTCAGAAAATATGATCTGGTGATCCCTGTTACCGAAAGTTCAATATTTGCGTCTCACAGGTTCATTTCCTCTTTTTGGAGAGAGAGAGATGCGTCACTCGGACTGGGAGTCTGGTTGAAAAACATGAAACAATAAAGATTTAGACACAATTTACAACCAGCCTGAAGTGACAGGCAGACCTTTCAACGGGTGGGATTTGAGTCAAAATTGAGTCTCCCGCAATCTCGATTTTATTTTTCTGGCGAGATACATGATCAAGATCCAAAAATTTCAAATTGTTCGTTTTTTTAATTGTTTCCTTGGCAAAAGTGCTGTTCTGGCATATTCTAAAATTATTATCATTTCTGGAAAGCATTAGACTAGAGCATTCAAACCTTTGCTTGAAAGGGTGTTGTGTACTTTATTGTGCAGCAATAAAAAAACACCAGGATTGGTGATTTATGATTTGGATGATTAGATAGTCCAGACCATACAAAGAAGAGCATAGATATAATTTTAGAGCGAGAGGTTAAAATAAATATGAACTTATAACTGCTTTGAAGGATATCAGAATTCTTCAATTCTTCACATCTATTTTCTTTCTTTTGCAAATAATTTTATTGGTAAATACAAAGTAACACAAAGGGGAAAAATGGGGGAGGGTAAAAAAAGAGGAACTTGTAAAAAGGTGGTAGGGGGAAAAAAATCCTGAAACAAATATATATAAAAAGAGTAACTTTTTTCCAGTACAGATACAAAACATAGCAATATTGTGTTCTAAATTATGTAAATATATTAAAAAACTATGCAGAGAGAGAGAGAAAGAGAGGGAGAGAGAGAGAGAGAGAGAGGGAGAAAGAGCAAGATAGAGAATGAGAGAGAGAGAGAGAGAGAGAGAAAGAGAGAGAATGAGAGAGAGTTAAAGTTAGATAGATGGAGAGAGAGAAAGAGAGAGATAAAGACAGAGAAAAATATAGAGTTAAAGATAGAGAGAAAGAGAGAAAGAGAGAACAAGATAGATAGAGAGAGAAATAAAAAGAGGGAGAGAGAAAGATAGGTAAAGAGAGAGAAAGAAAGATAAAAAGAGAGTTAAAGATCGAGAGGGATAGAGAGAAGGAGAGATAGAAATATATATATAGAGAGAGAAAGAAATAATTTTTTCCAATGAAATTTCTTGACCTTTGTGTAAAGTAATATACTTTTTTTATATTCACATCATCTGTTGTTCCAGTATTCCCTTCTTGTAAGTTTATTATTCTTTTCTTTTCTTTTTCTTTCTGCAACTCGGATGACATACAATTTCCCGGGTTTATTTGCAGATTCAACATTTCTTTCTTTGGCATAATTCGTCTTCATTTTCCAGGAATCATGACCTAAGCAAATATTGGGCTGGCGTTTCCCTGCCTGGCCCCGAAGTTAATCCACTTTTTTTTTTTATCAGTTTATGTTTATAAGAGTTTATACAAGCGAATTGCTTGACGTTTCCAAAACAAGAAAGCAAGAGTTTTTGCTGAACGATCAGCTCAACACAATTTCCGACACGCTCATTCATCCACACACCCAGAAACGGCAGTTCAGGAACAGCTTTTAGGAGCCCAATAAAAATGTGGATGGGTGTTGTTCTGGATTGGAGATTGGGTTTTAACAGTTGGCCAGAAAGGTTATGGCTGAGTAAAAAGTAAGTCTCTTCTCCAGACTTTGCACCCCTGAGAAGGAGAAGGAGGGAGGGAGGAGGAGGAGGAGGAGGAGGAGGAGGAGGAGGAGGAGGAGGAGGAGGAGGGAAAGGAAAGAAGAAGAAATGGTGATGGAGAAGGAGAAGGAGAAGAAGGAAGGAAAGAGGAGGAGGAGGAGGGAAAGGAAAGGAAAGGAGGGAGAGGAAAGGAAAGGAAAGAAGGAGAAAGAAAGAAGGAGCAGAAGTGGTGATGGAAAAGAAGGAGGAGGAGGAAAAGAAAAGGAAAGGAAAGGAAGAGGGAAGGGAGGGGAGAGGAAAGGAAAGAAGGAGAAAGAAAGAAGGAAAGAGGAGGAGGAAGAAAAGGAAAGGAGGAAGAGGGAAAGGAGAGGAAAGGAAAGGAAAGAAGGAGAAAGAAAGAAGGAGCAGAAGTGGTGATGGAAGAGAAGGAGAAGAAAGAAGGAAAGAAGGAGGAAAAGGAAAGGAAAGGAAAGGAGGAAGAGGGAAGGGAAAGGAAAGGAAAGGAAAGAAGGAGAAAGAAAGAAAGAAGGAACAGAAGTGATGGAAAAGAAGGAGAAGAAACAAGGAAAGAAGGAGGAAAAGAAAAGAAAAGGAAAGGAGAGGAAGAGGAAAGGGAGGGGAGAGGAAAGGAAAGAAGGAGAAAGAAAGAAGGAAAGAGGAGGAGGAAGAAAAGGAAAGGAGGAAGAGGGAAGGGAGAAGAAAGGAAAGGAAAGAAGGAGCAGAAGTGATAGAAAAGAAGAAGAAAGAAGGGAAGAGGAGAAGGAGGAGGAGGGAAAAAAAGAGGAGAGGTTTAATTCAACAGGTGTGGCTCATAGGACTGAGGTCCTTTCCCAGGGGTGGGGGGGGGTGGGGGGGCAGCTTCCTACCCTCCGCCGTGGTCCCATCCCAGCCATCCCCCCCCCAACCCATCAACCGCAAGCTCAATTGTGAAGGACGGTCATAAAACGCCAAGGACGAGGTCAACACCCCACAACGCCACACCCCAACCTTGGATTGTTTGCCATCCGACTTCTCTCTTTTACAGCCCCTGTCCCAACCCGTGCCATGGGATCCTGGTTAATCAGTAACCAGAGTTTCGCCTTTAAAAAGGCCCTCGTCTTGACCGTCCAAGTCAAAGGTCTGCCTCGTCTCTCTCTGCCGTCCCAGGAAGAGCCTCAATCTTGGTTCCAGCCATGAAAGCCGGCCTGATGCTAATCCTTGGTTTGTGCCTCCTCCCAGCCCTGGCCGAAGGCGTCACCGTCCAGGTAATGTTTTAAGGCTGTTTGGTTGAGGATCGGTTTAATAATACTACTACTCAAGTTGGAAGGGGCCTCGGAGGTCATCTAGTCCAACCCCCTGCTCAGGCAGGAAACCTTATACCCTTTCGGACAAAGGGCTGTCCAGTCTCTTCTTTAAAAACTTCCTTGGATTCTGGTTTAGAACTTGGAATAACTTTATTGTCGCTTTAAATGTACGTTAAATCGGCACAGATTAAGATGAAACAGGATAGTGGGAAGCTGGGATCCGCTAATTGTGGAGTGGGGTGACCCAGAGTTCGGCCTCCAGGCTCTCCCTAAAGAACGTCAGCCTAATCTCATGAAGAAGGGGGGCAGGAATTGGGTTTGGCTAGTTTAATGAGGAGAAGGACCGGGGGGTGGGGATATGATAGCATCTTCCAGTATTTGAGGGGCTGCCCCAAAGAAGAGGAGGGGTCCCACCTATCCTCCAAAGCTCCTGAAGGCAGGACAAGAAGCAACAGATGGAAACTCATCCAGGAGAGAAGCAGCCTGGAATTAAGGAGACACTTCCTGACAGTGAGCAGTGGGGTTGGACTAGAAGACCTCTGAGGTCCTTTCCAATTCTGTTACTCTGTAATTCTAATCTCAAATCAATGAAGGGCTCATCTCCCGAAGTTGTGGGGGCTCCATCTCTGGAAGTTTTCAAGAAGAAATTGGACAACCATTTGTCTGGAATGGTCTAGGCTCTCCTGCTTGAGCAGGGGGTTGGACTAGAAGACCTCCAAGGTCCCTCCCAGCTCTATTCTGATTGGTTGATTGATTGAAATGGTCTAGGGTCTCCTGCCTGAGCAGGGGTCTGGACTAGAAGACCTCCAAGGTCCCTTCCAGCTCTCTTATTCTGTCATTCTAATCCCAAATCAAAATAATAATAATAATAATAATAATAATAATAATAATAATAATAATAATAATAATAATAATGATGATGATGATGATAAAGTTGGAAGGGACCTCGGAGGTCATCTAGTCCAACCTCCTGCTCAGGCAGGAAACCCTATACCATTTCGGACAAATGGCTGTCCAGTTTCTTCTTAAATCAACTAACCAGTGGAGCAGCTTGCCTTCAGAAGCCACGGGCGCTCCATCTCTGGAGGTTTTCAAAAAGAAACTGGGCCTCGATTTACAACGGTTCATTTAGTGACCGTTCCAAATTACAACAGCGCTGGGAAAAAAGGGACCGACAGCCGTTTTTCATGCCTAACGACCATCGCAGCATCCCTGTGGTCACGCGATCAGAATTCAGACACCTGGCCCCTGACTCACATTTATGACGGTCGCAATACTCCCCGGGGTCACGTGATCCCCTTTTTGCAGCCTGCTGGCAAGCAAAGTCAATGGGGGATTCACTTAACGACCGTGTTCCTAGCTTAACAACCGCCACGATTCATTTAACAACTGAGGGGGTTAAAACGGGGGGGAAATTCATGTGAGAACTGTCCCACTTAGCTGCAGAAATCTGGGGTTCAGTTGTGGCCGTAATTCGAGGACTGCCTTATAAAGCAAGACATATGTGGTTTTTTCTCTTCCTATCCCGGACAGGTCGATGACTTGACCTTCTCCTGGGACTCGGTCAAAGCGCTGAAGAAGATCCTGGATCCTGCACCCCAAAACCCCCGCTTCCGGAGCCGAGGACCGGCGCCCGTGTGCCTGCACCCCCAACTCCCCCGCGAATTCCTGCCTCTCTGCGCCACGCCGAAGGCCGCCAGCGTGTTCAGGGCCCTCGGTAAGTCAAAGCGGTCCTTAAACGGACCGAGTTTTAGCCTGAAAGGGGCTGGATTTGAATACAGGCCAGGTCCTCAACTTACGACCGCAGGGGAGCCCAAAATTTCTGGGGCCAAGTGAGACATTGGTTAAGCGGGCGTTGCCGAATTTCACGGCCTCTCTGGCTTCCGTCGTTAACCGAGTCGCTTCCATTGTTAAATTAGAATGATGGCATGTAGACAGCCATCTTCTCTCTTTGATCCCCAAAGTCCTCGGCTTACCACAGTTTATTTAGTGACCGTTCGAAGTTACGACAGCCCTGAAAAAAAAGGGCCTTAGGACTGTTTTTCTCACTTACCGACCGTCGCAGCGTCCCCAGTGGTCGCGTGATTAAAATCCAGACCTTTGGCAAGTGACTCATATTTACGACGGTCGCAGATCCCATTTTGCCAACATCTGGCGAGCAAAAATCAGTTTGGGAAGCCCGATTCGTCGAACAACCCTGTTGCTCGCTTAAGAACGGCAAGGGATTCGCTTAACGACCGTCGTAAAATGGAGCAAAACCACACCCGAAACCAAGGTCTCCCGTAGCCATGGAAATTTCGGGCTCTGTTGTTGTCGTAAGTCGAGGACTTGCCTGTACTGTGAGGTTGGGAGCCTAGCCAAGAGTCAATTGCAAAACGCGGTTGCCGGCTCGGAAAGTTGTGTAAGCCCACAGCGTTGTGACTTTGTGCTTCACACGTCACAGCAGAGAGATTCTGAAGCAATTTGTCCCAAAGGAAAGCAAATGCTCCAGGACAGGACTTGCCTTTTGGGGTGGGGGTGAGGTGGGGGTGGGGTGATAGGAGCCCTTCTCCTGGAAGTCCCCCCTCCCCAGAAAGCATTGTCACTTAAATCATTTGTGAGGGAGCCTCGAGGTCATCTAGCCCACCCTCTAGCCTGGGGCAGGAATGTGCAATTAACGTATCCCCAAGAGACGGTCATTCAGCCTCTGTTGAAACTCCGGCCAGCATCCCTTTAGGCATGGCTGAACATCCTTCCTCTGTCTTGGGGAAGATTTTTCTGGTCTCCACTTCCTGGTCATTTTAACCCTTCTTTTCCCCACAGTCCTCTTTTTAAGTACCTAGTCCTCTTTAAGCACGTCACGAAGGTTCTTCTTCAGATACTTCCAGACGACTCTGCTGCTTCTGTGCAGATTTCTTTGGAAATTTTAGAGAAGGGAGTCTCTAAAAGGACTAAAAAGAAAATTATTAATTTGGTTTGTTTTTGGTGGGGTTTTTTTTCCTGTTCCAATGAATCTCCCACCCAGCCTGGCTGTCGTTTCTTCTAGAAGTTTTTTTTTTAAAAATCCCACTGGAAAAAAAAAAACTCCTTTGGGATTTAAAGAAAGTGAGATAAGCCGGAGAGAGGCGAATGCCTTTCAGATTCTCCTTTTAAGCTCCTTCTGTTAGATTAAAAAACAATTTACTTTTTGTGGGATCCTTGGTGCTCTCTCTCTCCTCCTCCTCCTCCTCCTCCTCCTCCTTCTCTCTGCAAACCCCCCTCCCTTCTAGCACTGATAAGGTTCCCTAGTTGGGTCATGAAACGTCTGCAAGAAAAGCACCCAGCTCAGAGAGCACCCAGGACCCCACAGTCCTCCTCCTTCTCTCTTCTTTTCCTTCCTTCCTTCCTTCCTTCCTTCCTTCCTTCCTTCCTCCCTCCCTCCCTTCTTTCTTTCTTTCTTTCTTTTTTCCTTCCTTCCTTCCTTCCTTCCTTCCTTCCTTCCTTCCTTTCTTTCTTTCTTTCTTTTTCTTTCTTTCTTTCTTTTTTCCTTTCTTTCTTTCTTCCTTCCTTCCTTCCTTTCTTTCTTTTTTCTTTCTTTCTTTCTTTCTTTCTTTCCTTCTTCCTTTCTCCTTTTTTCCTTTCCTCCTCCCCTCCTCTTTCTTTCCTCCTCCTCCTCCTCCTCCTCCTCCCCCTCCTCTCCACAAACCCCCCTCCCTTCTAGCCCTGATGATGTTGCCTAGTTGGGTCACAAAACATCTGCAAGAAACACCCCCCCCCAAGCTCAGACAGCACCTGGGATCCCACAGCCCACTTCTCTCTCAAAATCTCCGCTCTAATGACTTACAACTGCTCAGTACTCCTCGCAGGCGGCCGACGGGTTGGGTAGCCGGGAAGAGGGAATCCCGTAGCGCGTAGTAGACCGTTCGGCCGACTCCTAGCCGACCAGGTTCGAAGTAGCACAGGTGAAGGTGGTTCAGGCTGGCAGGCCCTCTCCAACCCCTCTTGTCTTCCTCGGCTTCAGACCGCATCGCCAGAGATCCGGAGACCTGCGAAATCTGCTTTAACGTCGCCTGCTCCGGATGCTAAGGGAGAAGCGGCCGT